CACGCGGCTTCAGCCCCCGTCTGCGGCGACACGGGGTTTGTCCCCCCTCCCCGCTGCCCTCGCAGCCCTACCCGACGCGGGGGGCCGGGGTGCCCGGCGCGCCCGGCGTCCCTGCCCGCTCCCCACAGGTGCTGGCGTGCCGCCCCCCCTCCGCCGCGCCGAAGGGCAGCTCACAGATGGGGCAGGACACCCAGGCGTCCCGCGCCAGCGGGGAGGAAGGCCAGGCTGCATCGGGGTCTTCCTCCCCGCAGCTGGAGGCGTGCACGGGGAGGAGATCGAGGCTGAAGCGACCTGCAGAAAGGGGAGGCGACACGGTCGGCTCTCTGGTGTCGGGGTGAGCACGGGGTTCGGGCTCACGCCCTCCCCGAAAGGTCCTGGCACCCCGTGATGCGCAGCGCCGTCCCTCCTCGGGGCACCCCGCCCGAGCGGGAGCGAATGTCCCAGCTACAGAGCCGCCGCTGCTTCTCCCCAAAAAGCTGGGGTTCAACACGCAGGCAGGGAGGGCAGAGCCAGTGGCAGGCACTGCTGTGCCCCCGCCCCCCCCCGCCCCTCCAAACCAACCCGCCCTCGGTCGGGCTGGGCTGGGCCTCGGCGGCTCCCTGCGGTGCGGGGGGGGCGGCGGGGCCAGGACCCAGCCCAGCGCCCAGGGACGGAGCCCTGGGCTGACCCCACCACCGCTTCGCCTCCCACCCAGGGAGCACCGCTGAGCTCAGGGGACTCGGCCAGCGGGTGGATGGACGAACGGACAGATGCACCGCGCTCTGCCCCAGCAGTGTGTCCCTCTCCCCGCTCAGGTCGGCCGTGCAGACTCTTCCCGTTTACAGGTTCCAGGCCAGAGGACGCCCCTGCCGCGCACCCACCTGAGCAGATGGGGCAGACGCCCATCTCCCCGTGACCACTGTCCCCTCCGCCGTCACCCCTCCGGGCCCATCCCTCTCGGTGGCTGCGGGCTCTGGCTCTTCCTCCCGACCTGGACGGCCGTGAGGCGGCCGGCAGAGACCTGCAGAGGCGTTGCAAGGGGTTGTAAGCTTAGGGCTTGCTGCGCTGCGTCCTGCCCGCCCAGAGGAGCGAAGGACCGGCCCCAGCCAGGGCCTGGATCCCACTGCCCTGCGGGCACAGGCAAGGAAAGACTCGGAGCAGAGGAATCACCGGGGCGAGGGCAGGAGGAACACGGTGACCCGAAGGATTACCTGCCCGCGGAGCTGGGAGCTCTCTGCCCGCCGTCCGGTGGCCTGCGGGTTCTCACGGGGACATCCTGCACGGACCCTGGGGGACAGCGGACAAGGGGTGACCCTGCCCTCCGCCCAGCAGCGCCAGATCTACCGGTGGAAGGGGCCGGGCGAGAACTGAACCGGCAGCATTCATGGGTGGGAAAACAACCGTGTGGCACAAAACGATCATTCCTTCCTCCAGCTGCCCCGCTGCGGACAGCAAACGGATCGCAGGAGGTGTCTAGGTGAGCGGGGGGATTTACCACCACGCTTCTCTCACGCTGGCAAGGAGGATGACTTGTCCAGAGGAAGGCCACCCTGGCCAGGGCACGGCCTGCCTGCCAGCGCGGTGGGGGAAACGGGCTCTCTCCGGGCACGGGGAGCGCCCCGGCAGCCATGGATTCACCCCAGCCTGCCCCGGCTGGGATCCCTCCAGTCCTCCGTGCCCTTTGGACAGTTTTGGGGGGCGCATACTAACTACGGAAAGGCTCCCTGCACCGCAAACGTGCCCTACGCTGGCCACGGGCAGCTCTGCCTCACCTGGCACTGCAGGGCCTCCCGGGTCCTCAGCCGGCAGCTCCAGGTCACCTGTGCCGGCTCTGGGCCTCAGTGCCCGGCTCCGCGCCGCCAACAGAACCATCTGGGCTGGGCGGCTGAGGCGGGTTGGGCTCCAGGCACCCGGCTCCAGCTGCTGCAGGCGGCTCTTCAGCTGCTCCTCCTCCCTGGAGCTCCTGGAGACAGAGAGATGCCAGCCCCACCGGGAGGCGAGAGCAGGCAGCCGCGGCTCCAGGCCCGGCTGCGCAGGGAGAGGACGGAGAGGCACCAGACCAGGCTACTTACGAGCGCGGTTCTGGAAAGAAAGTCCGGCAAAAGGCAGGGCTGGAGCGCCAGGGGACGTCCGTGGGCTCGGCAGCCTCCTGCGGGAGAAGGGAACGAACGCCTCAGGGAATGGCGAGCGGCACTCCGCGCCCTCCACCCCGGGCGCGGCACCCTCACGCGCTCTCCATGGGGCAGGAGTGGCGGCAGCGGAGGAGAAGCCCCGTCACGGCTGTCTCCCGGCGGGTTCCCAGCACAGGGAGGCGCGGGAGGCACCTACCAGGCCTCGCTGCGAGGGCAGGGGCGGCTGGGGGTCCTCGGGGTCCAGCGGCGTGCGCACGCGGATGAAGGACAGCCCGAACTGGCTGTGCTTGCTGAAGGGCTGGCTGCAGGTGAGCCGCAGGCGGTCCCACTTCTGCCCCACCGCCAGCGCCAGGAAATCTGCTGCAGGGGGACAGCAGTGGGGGTGGAGGGGGCACAGCGGGGACCGCCACCCCGGCACCTCTCCCGCCTCCGCTCGTCACCCTGTGCCACTGTTCCCCCTCCAGGAGCAGGACACGGTGACAGCAGGGGGATTATGGGCACGGGAGAGGCCAGGGCAGGGGAGCAGAGCTGGTTCGACCCTCCCGAGGCTGTGCAGCGAACGGGACGGCCGCAATCCCTGCTCTCCCCATCCCCTTCCATCCCCCCAGCCTCTCCGCTCTGCCCTGGGCCTCTCTCCCTTCGGACCAGGCGATCTTTACCTTCCTTAAACATCCGGACCCCGCAGCGGTTCCGATCCAGCTTGGAGTCTGCCGGCGTCATCAGCGCGACGCTGGGCACCAGGGTGAGGTAGGGCCGGTCAAGCGGCCACGAGGAACGTCCCACCTCGATCTGGAGGAAGGCGCAGCCACAGTTGCCTAGGTTAAGGCAGGAGGGATGTGAGGCTCGGGGCTGCCGGCCCCGTCCAGGACACAGCCCCGCCTGGCACGAGGGGGACGTACCAACGTCCATGTAGCCGATGGGACTGGCTCGCCCCCGCCGCAGCCCCCCCCCCACCCGCGCCCCGCGGGGCCCG